GTACCTCAGCAAACAGAAACAGGTTACAGGACTCGGAACTCAGGCTTAACAGGAAACAATACTGAGCCACAGACCTGACTGCATGGAGGGCTTAAGTACCCTCCCAGGGAGCACCAGGTGGTGGATAATTGGTGGCAGCTGGGAGACACCCACAGGTTAGCTTAGCTCCAGCGCCACCTGGAGGCGCTCTGGATCCTAACACTTCTCTATCAAAGACATGATACTCAGAAAGCCAGTCCAAGTGATTTGTCTTCTCCATACCTGCTGATAGTGGGATTGTATGCTATCCAGTTTTAAGCTCTTGCAGCTGAACTTGCCCTTAAAAATTAGTCTCTCACGACCACCTTCTGGCATGGTTTGTCCGAGTGTATTTAAGACAAATTGGCTGATCCCAAAATCCCCTCCCTCCCCAAAAAAACAAATAAAAACCAAAACGGTTCTCTCCATCCCTGTATTGATTACCGCGAACCTAATGCCATCACTGTCAAGAACTGCTACCCACTGCTTCTTATTATGGAGCTCTTCAGTTGCCTCCATGGAGCCCAGGTATTTACAAAGCTGGACATATGATATGGATACAACTTGATTGTATCAAAGTATGACTACTACGAATATCTAGTGGTGTCCTTCGGTCTCTGTATTGCTCCTGCAGTCTTCCAGCACTTTGTCAACAAAACCTTCTGAGATCTCATCTGAGTGTGTTACCCTCTACCTGGACAACATAATACTTTTCTCCCTGGACTTGCCCATTCACAGACATCATGTCTGCTCTATCTTGCAATGCCTCTATAACAATGGACTCTAAAGCCAAAAAAAAGTATCTTTGAGCTTCCCCAAGTGCTTTTCCTGAGCTATATTGTTTCTATGGACACTTCTATGGACACTGAGAAAGTTGCTGCCACCTGGCCCCTGCCCAGTGTTCTCAAAGCTACACAGCCCTTTCTAGTCTTCCCTAATTGCTACCAGCAGTACATAAATGACTCTGTTCTTGTTGCTCCAATTGCTTCTCTCGCTCTGAAAGATGCTGACCCCCAGGAACTGGCCTCCTAATGCAGTTGAAGCCTTCCATGCCCTGAAGCAAGTTTTTCTCTCCAGCCCTGGCCTAACAAGACCAGACATCACTAAACCCCTCTCCACCAAGGTTCATGCCTGTGGGAGTCAGTAATATTCTTTTTGTAGTCCCCCAGTCAGACTAGGAACTCCTGCACCTACTTCTCTAAAATGTTCTCTTCAGCAGACAACTGAGGATCGAGAACTGCTCACTATAAAACTGGCTCTTGAGCAGTGGTGATACCTCTAGGAAGGTTTGCCTCATCGGATCATCATTAACAAGGACCATAAAAGCTTACAAAGTGCTCATCACCTAAATCCCAGACCAGCCTGTTGATTGTTGTTCCTCTCCCAGTTTGACTTGATCACTTTGAAGGCCAGGGCTGCCAACTTCAGAGTTGATGCACTCTCACAATATTTCAGTTCTCAATATTCTGAAGTTCCAGCTGATCCAGAGTTCATTATTCCTACCATTTGCATTCTTGCTCTGACTTCTGTTCAAGAATCAGCCATTTCTCTGGGCAAGAATCTAGTGCCTCCAAAACTAATAACCTAGGTTGGGCCCTCAACTTCAAGCTCTTAGGACATCCTGGTGTCCGCAGAATTCTCATATTTCTCTCCCACTAGTACTAGAGGCTGGGTCTTGAAGGGATTTAGAAGACTATGTAAAAGCTTGTCGATTTGTGCCCAAACAAAGTGTCTTTCCAATGCATCAGCCATGTCTCACTTCTGCTACTCATTCTTAAAGAACCTTGGTGCCATGTCTCTATGGACTTTATTACTGACCTCTTTCCCTCTGCGGGCTGTACAGTTATTTGTGTAGTGGTAGACTGCTGTTGAAAGATGGCACATTTCATACTGCTGCCCTCATTAGCAGCCCAGATATCCGTTTTTATCCAGGAAATCTTCCAGCACCATCTGTGTCACATTGGAGAATTTCCATTACTTCCTGTCCATAACAGGAGGTGAGATAAAATCCCTCCAAAGTGAGGGAAATCCCATTTGGTCAGCAGGGTCATGAGAACTAGCGTTCCCATTGCCAGATTTCCCACCTTTTCCTGTTCAAATGACAACCCAAAATGACTTCACTTTTCAGTCACCAGGACAAATAGAGAGAATTAATCTCCCAGGGACAGAGACACAGACAGCAATAAAAATGTGCCAGGTGTTTTCTAATCCCTCTTCACTTTATCCAAAAATAAAACAGTTTTGGCTTCAGTTGCATTTTATTGGCATGCCAACCCATTTTGTTTCCAACTGCAGTGTCAAGTTCAACTCCCACTTCTAAAAGGGCCTCTGTAAGTCCTTGGATATATTCTTATCGTTTTCCCTGGTCTACCATCCACAGACTTGTGGACAAACTGAGAGTCAACCAATCCCTAGAACAGTATCTTCATGCCCTAATGTCTGCCCATCAGGATGATTGGCTTGCCCTCTTGCCTTGGGCAGAATTTGCTTACAATAACCATCATAATGCCAGCATTAAAAAATCTCCATTCTTCATGGTCTACAGCAAGCGTTAGTGTCCTCCCTTGCCAATACCTTGTTCTCCAGACATTCCCACAATGCAGAAAGACTAACAAAATTTGGTCCAGGGTTCAAAACCGGCTCTAGCACTCTGCTCTCAGAGACAATAAATTTGCTGATTAGCACCATTGAAGAGCACCATTTCTCCAACCTGGGGATAAAGTTTGACTTGCCTCCAAAAACATTCTACTCAAAGTTCCTTCCATTAACTTTTCCCCACCTTATATTGGGCCTCATGTTATCACGGCAAAGATCAATCCAATCAGCTACAAACCTCGTCTGCCTATGCAAAGCATTGGTTACAGTACAATGTATGGTAATACACTTTAAAAAAAAAAACTCACTTTGTGCCTTGCTTGCACATTGTCATATGTTCTAAGCAATTGAAGCTGCCTGCAGTGTTCTATGTGTGAATCTGCTCCATAGAAGGAGCTAGAAAGGTAAGAAATATTGTTCTAAAAAATTATTTTAGGTATGCTGTGTGAATGGGAACACATAAACGTAAGTTGAAGGTTTTTTACATTTGACTGCAAAGGTGAAAATATACTTTAAGCACTTTTATTTCTGAGTGAGAGATCAGCTAATTTTAATCAAAAAAACAAAACTACAGTGTATTATATCACAGAAAAAGCCAGAAATTGAACAGGCTCATTGTACACTAGGTAAGTGGCATTTGTAGACCGCATTTGTAAAGGGAAAGACCAGTTGGGTTTTATCAAGAAGTAGAAAGTAGGAGTGCAGACATCCCAACCTGCAGAACCTTATTTCAGGGAGGTTCCTGTCTCATTTCAGGGAGGTGCCCTTTCTCTTTTTTTTTTGTTTTTTTACAGCGGCCGTCGTCAGAATATAAAATAAATAATAATGATAATTATATATATACACACATATACATACATACATACATACATAGTGTACTATGCAAACTATGGCCATTGGTAGACACCACACTAAAATTCACTGTAATGTGGCACTATACAGCACTGGGTATAGTATTTTTTTAGCAGAACTGTACAGTCTAGCATTTATCTCTCCCTGCAAAGATTGTGTGATCTCTTGCTATCTGCTCCATGTCTCTTGACTGTGTATATTACTGACTGTAAATATAGCAGTTGTCAGCAGCAGTAATGTATAGTGGTAGCATAGCAGCAGCTATCTGTTCCTGCAAACATTCTGTGATCTATCCTTATCTACTGCAGGGCTGCTTGGAACTCTGAATTTTATAGGATGGAGGTTGGTGCATAAGAAAACCCCATGATTGACCCTTCTAAGCCACCTGACTACAATTCAGAGGCGGGGAAGTGCATTGTGGTGAATTGGTTGCTATGGACTTGGCTGCATTACTTTGCCATTTTCACGAACTGCCAACAACGTGAGTTCAGCTCCAACTCACGGTTGACCCAAACCCCTACCAGCTGTCAAATGTGGGTGTAGTTTAGCCTTTACCTTGCCTGAGAGTGTTGATCTACACATTGCAGTTACTAGCTGGTTAAAGGAGAACTATGGGGTCAGTGTTTTTCCCCATAGTTCTCCTTGGGGTAACGGGAGGACACAAACTAGCGTCCTCCCTTTATCCTAAGCTCAGTATACCGCGAGCTACAGTTCGCTGTATACTGAGACGCCGCACCTGGAGCGGATCCCGACTTAGATGACGGGATCCGCCCAGCTGCGTCAGTGACAGCTGGCTCTGCTTATCTAGAGGCAGAGCCAGCTGTACCCGCCCCCTCCCCGTCCGTTCCGCCAGTCAGCGCTGGCAGATCGGAGCGGGAGAGGGGAATCCAGCCCCTCCCCCTGTCACGGCAGAGAGCCGTGACAGGATCGAGAGGTGAGGGAACCCGGTATGTGTTCTCTCATCTCCCGATCTACTGAGCCGACCTGTGACAGTCTCATTGTCACAGGTCGGCTTAGAACTATGAGGTGAGTGGAAATCACTCATGTCATAGTTCTCCTGTAGCTTGATCACCATAGCCTGTAAATAGTGAGGAGCAGATGCTTACTAATGATGCCATCTCTGTACTCCCTTCCCCCGACAGAAGGCTTTCTATATTAAACTGTAGACATGTAACCCTGCAAAAAAAATTGTTTTGTTTCGGATCCATTCTAATTTTTGTTTTTTGTTTTTTTGTTTTTCATATCCAAAATTTGATTAAGATTTAATTTTGTTTTGAATTAAACTCGGACGGATCCGAATTTTCATTAAACAAGCATTTGGATTTGTTTCCACTCAGACGCTTTAGAATTTGGAAATTCGTATGCACACGACTGTCCGAATTTAACTAAATTCATATGAATATCCATTCGGAACTAAATTAAAATTATGTCTATTTATCGGACACTACTATGCAATCCAATTGAGTTTGAGTTTACATTGGCATAATTTGGCTGTGGAATTCTAAGGGGGTAGTGTTATATTATTCATCACAAACCTGAAACCTGTATAACCAAAGAGTATAGCTTGCAGAAATCCTCCCATTCCTGTGAGGAAATTCACAGCTCCAGATCCATCAGCACATTCTGTCCATATCTAAAAACATTAAATGGGATTCAAAGTCAACCAAAGACAACACATGGCCCTGTGATCATACAGACATCACCACATTCTGGCTAATTCAGTAAAGGTCATGTAGTGTAAAGTAGTGTTCTAGAACAAGCCCAGGTAATTCCAGGTAAATAAAGTGAGGTCTATGAAAGATTACATTTTGTTAAAAGTTTACTGGCTTTGTTTTCTCAACAACTAAGTCGGTGTTTAAAAGACAATGGACTTGGAAGAGCTGAGGACATGAATAGGGAGAAGATAGGGAGATACATCAGCCTTTGACTGCTCTCTTTACATTTTATGCTCTTCTCCTTCCTCACATGGAGGGCTAGTACACATCATAACTGCATCAGAACTGCATGCGTCTGCGCAGCTGCAGTGTGATGCGTTTTGACATGTTTTTGACACGTTGTGGTGCTGGTTTTTTTCTTAGCGTAACCAGTTGACATCCGCGGTGTTAAACCCCCTTCCCATCCAGGCCATTTTTCAGTATTCAGTGCTGCGGTACTTTGACTGACATTTACTCCGTCATGCAGCGCTGTACTGAAATGAATTTTATACCCTTTTTTGGGGACAGATAGAGCTTTCTTTTGGTGGTATTTATTCACCACTGGGGTTTTTATTTTTTTACTATATTAAGGAAACATTACCGAAATTTAAAAAAAAAAACAGTTTCCCTTATATTAAATGATAAAACATTTATTATTACCCAATTTTTTGGTAAAATATAAAAGACGGGGTCACGTCGGGTAAAAAGACACCAAACATGTCAAGCCTTAAAATTGCTTGCGCGCGCGAAACCTCAAAAACGATAATACCCAAAATTGGCCATAGGCGACGCTTTAAAAGCTGTT